GGTGCGGGCCACCATGCCTGGCTAATTTTTGTATTTTTAGTAGAGACAGGGTTTCGTCATGTTGGCCAGGCTGGTCTCGAACTCCTGGCCTCAAGTGATCTGCCCACCTCAGCCTCCCAGAGTGCTGGGATTACAGGTGTGAGCCACCACACCTGGCCAACCCTGGTGATTTTCATTTCTCTGAGGTCTATTTTGTCTGTGGTAAATAGAGGCGCTCTAGATTTCTTTTTGATTGTGGTAAAGTACACATAAGATTTGCCATCTTAATTTCTAAGTGCTCAGTCCAGTGGCATGAGGTACATTCGCATTGTTGTGCAGCCATCACCATCCGTCTACAGAACTCTTTTAGACAAAAGGCATGTCATTCTCTATTAAATTGCATTATCTATTTTGTATAGGATAACTTACTGTTTTGCTAAGGTGATTACATGACTCTTTTTTTCTTTTTTCTTTTCTTTTTTTTTTTTTTTTTTTTGACAGAGTTCCCTCTGTCACCCAGACTGGAGTGCAGTGGCGCGATCTTGGCTCACTGCAACCTCCACTTCCCGGGTTTAAGCGATTCTTGTGCCTCAGCCACTCGAGTAGCTGGGACTACAGGTGTGCACCACCATGCTCAGCTCTTTTTTTTTTTTTTTTTTTTTTTTAAGTAGTGACGCGGGTTTTACCATGTTGGCCAAGCTGGTCTCAAACTCCTGGCCTCAAACAATCCTCCTGCCTCGGCCTCCCAAAGTGCTGGGATTATAGGCATGAGCCACTGTGCCTGGCAAAATATTTTCAGTGGTCATTGATTTCCTATGTATTTAGTGGTTATTTAGTTTTTGGTGTGTGTGTGTGTGTGTGTGTGTGTGTGTGTGTGTATGTGTGTGTGATGGTGGTTTGGTTTGCAAGTAACAGACAGTCTAGTGTTGTCTGCCGTGTATAATACAGAATACTGTAGGCTTCAGCAACTCATTGCTGTCAGAATTTCTCTTCCATTTATCTATAGTATCTCCCACCATGTCACTTTCACCCTTGTGTTTTTCCTCCCTCATGATTGCAAGTCAGCTGCTGTGGTTCCAGCCTTCACATCCGCATACCATACTAAGTAGAAGAAAAGGAGGAACAGAGCCAAATAGGGTCGTTTGCCCACTTCTGAATCAGTAACTGACTATTGACCTGGGTATGACAAATCTCAGGGAGTCTTGGCCAGGCATGGTGGCTCAGGCTTGTAATCCCAGCACTTTGGGAGGCCGAGGTGGACAGATCACTTGAAGTCAGGAGTTCAAGACCAGCCTGGCCAACATGGTGAAACCCCATCTCTACTAAAATTACAAAAATTAGCCAGGCGTGGTGGCAGGCACCTGTAATCCCAGCCTTTTGGGAGACTGAGGAAGGAGAATAGCTTGAACCCAGGAGGTAGAGGTTACAGTGAGCCAACACCGTGCTACTGCACTCCAGCCAGGGTGACAGCAAGGCTCTGTCTCACAAAAAAAAAAAAAAAAAAAAAAAGAAAGAAAAAGAAAAATCAGGGAGTCTCTATTGTGTGATGGGCATTCTGCTGGTCACTAGCCTAGTTTAATAAGACACATTCTGTGGCCTAGAGGTGCTTAAAGTTGGAGAAGGACTGTCGGGGAGATAGAGAGAGGGGAGGAGGAGGAATAGAAGGAGGAAGAGAGAGAACTAATACAGTGCATGAGATCCAGGAGCCTGACTGTATGTGGAGTAAGTGCCTATTTTCAAAACAAGCGAAAAGCTCCAAACCCTTGAAAAAACTATCGATGTACATTTACTCATCCTTCCCTTCCCTTCCCTCCCGTCCCGTCCCCTCCCCTCCCCTCCCCTCCCCTCCCCTCCCCTTCTTTTTTGAGGCAGACTCTCTGTCACCCAGGCTGGAGTGCAGTGGTGTGATCTCGGCTCACTGGAACCTCCGCCTTCTGGGTTCAAGTGATTCTCCCACCTCAGCCTCCCAAGTAGCTGGGACTATAGTACACGCCACCACGCCTGGCTAATTTTTGTATTTTTAGTAGCGATGGGGTTTCACCATGTTGGCCAGTCTGATCTCGAACTCCTGACCTTGTGATCTGCCTGCCTCAGCCTCCCAAAGTGCTGGGATTACAGGTGTGAGCCACCGTACCCCGCCTTACCAGTGTTTTTCTAAGAAAACTTTTCCTAAACTGCACAAAGTTGTTTTTCTGTCTGCAGGGCCGATTAACTTTCAAGAACGGGCGTGTGTACGAAGGCACATTCTCCAATGACCACATAGCCGGGTTTCCAGATCTTGAAGTTGAATTCATCAGCTGCCTGGACCTGTCTTCAGGAGTTGCCCAAAGATTGTCCAGGAGTGCCGGTAGGAAGCATTCACCTGTTGAAATAAAATTCATCTGTTTCTATCCATGGTGTCCACTCGTGAAAATACACTGAACTCTTCAGAAAACAGAAGTCCCCTGTGAGCAACTCCTTTTAAAAAAAAAATTTGAGACAAAGTCTCGCTCTGTCACTACGGCCTCAGACTCCTGGGCTCCAGTGATCCTCCCACTTCAGCCTCGCCTATAGCTGGGAATACAGATGTGCACCACCATGCCTAGCTAATTTTTTTTTTTTTTTTTTTTTTGAGATGGAGTCTTGCTCTGTCGCCCAGGCTGGAGTGCAGTAGTGCAATCTCGGCTCACTGCAATCTCTGCCTCCCAGGTTGAAGCGATTCTCCTGCCTCAGCAACTTGAGTAGTTGGGGTTATAGGTGCGTGCCACCATGCTTGGCTAATTTTTGTAATTTTCTTAGAGACAGGGTTTTACCATGTTGGCCAGGGTGGTCTCTGACTCCTGACCTCATGATCTGCCTGCCTTGGCCTCCCAAAGTGCTGGGATTACAGGTGTGAGCCATCGCACCTGGCCATGCCTACCTAATTTTTAAACTTTTTGTAGAGGCATGGTCTCACTATGTTGCCCAGGCTGATTCAAACTCCTGTCCTCAATCAATCCTCCTGCCTCGGCCTCCCAAAGTGTTGAGACTACAGCTGTAAGCCATTGTGCCTGGCTTGCAACTGCTTTAAAAAAAATGTTTTTTAAGAGACAGGATCTCACTCTGTTGCCCAGGTTGGAGTGCAGTGGTGTGATCATAGCTCACTGCAGCCTTAACGCCCCATTTTGGCTTCCCAAAGTGCTGGGATTACAGGCATGAGCCACTGTGCCCAGCCTGCATTCTTAGTAGGTTTTTGGAATATTCTCGTATCACATTTTGGTAGAAAATCATTGTGACGGCCGGGCGCGGTGGCTCAAGCCTGTAATCCCAGCACTTTGGGAGGCCGAGACGGGCGGATCACAAGATCAGGAGATCGAGACCATCCTGGCTAACCACGGTGAAACCCTGTCTCTACTAAAAAATACAAGAAAACTAGCCGGGTGAGGTGGCGGGCGCCTGTAATCCCAGCCACTCGGGAGGCTGAGGCAGGAGAATGGCGTAAACCCGGGAGGCGGAGCTTGCAGTGAGCTGAGATCGTGCCACTGCACTCCAGCCTGGGCGACAGAGCGAGACTCCGTCTCAAAAAAAAAAAAAAAAAAAGGAAATCATTGTGACATAACATTGAGAAATTTTAACATTGCTTTTCATAATTATCTCCAAGGATGGGTGCAGTGGCCCATGCCTGTAATCCCAGCACTTTGGGAGGCCAAGGCAGGTGGATCACTTGGGTTCAGAAGTTCGAGACCAGCCTGGGCAACAAGGTGAAACACTGTGTCTACAAAAAGTACAAAAATGAGCTGGGCCATGACGGTGCATGTCTGTAGTCCCAGCTACTCGGGAGGCTGAGGTGGGAGGATCGCTTGAGCCTGGGAGGCAGAGGTTGCAGTGAGCTGAGATCATGCCACTGCACTCCAGCCTGGGCGACAGAGTGAGGTCCTGTCTCAAAACAAAACAAAACAAAACAACACCAAACAAACCATAATTATCCCCTGTATTTGCCTTCCTTCATTAGAACTGATCAGAAAGCTTGATGGCAGTGAAAGTCATTCTGTGTTGGGGTCGAGCATCGAGCTGGATCTAAATTTGCTCCTGGACATGTACCCTGAGGCAGCCCGACCTGAAGAAAAGAAGCAGGTAAAATCTTTTTTATTGGTATCAATTGCATCCTGGGGAAATATAGCTGGTGACTGCTGTCACGTGTTGAATGTCTTTTTTTTTTTTTTTTTTTTTTGAGACTGAGTTTTGCTCTGTCACCCAGGCTGGAGTGCTATGGCGCAATCTCGGCTGACTGCCACCTCTGCCTCCTGGGTCCAAGCAATTCCCCCACTGCAGCCTCCCGAGTAGCTGGGATTACAGGCGTGCGCCACCACACCTGGCTATTTTTTTGTATTTTGGTAGAGACGGGGTTTCACTATATTGGCCAGGCTGGTCTGGAACTCCTGACCTCAGGTGATCCGCCTGCCTCAGCCTCCCAAAGTGCTGGGATGATGGGTGTGAGCCACCACGCCCAGCCTAGAACAGTGCTTTAGATCGGGCAGACAATACATGTTTATTCAATTGAACTGCGTTTTCAAAAGCAGGAATTAATGCTCAGCATAACAGATGCCTGAAGTCGCCCAGGCAGGGCTTCCTGTCTCCCTTGGGACCCCGAATCCTGTTCTTCGCGTTCTCTGAGTGTCTCATTGAAGAGGGTAGGGCAGGGGTGAGTGGTTCTGGAGAACAGGATGCTGTGCGGAGGGCAGGGCTGCCTGTGTGGGGAATTTGGAGCAGCTTAAGGGCATGAAGGGTCTGGGGAAAATCCTAAAAGGTGAAATGTGACAGAGAGGGAGGTGAGTAAAGCAACCAGCATGAATATTGCTGCTTTTTTTTTTTTTTTTTTTTTGAGATGGAGTTTCCCTCTTGTTGCCTAGGCTGGAGTGCAATGGCATGATCTCGGCTTTTGGGTTCAAGCGATTCTCCTGCCTCAGCCTCCTGAGTAGCTGGGATTACAGGCACGCACCACCACGCCTAGCTATTTTTTGTATTTTTAGTAGAGATGGAGTTTCACCATGTTGCCCAAGCTGGTCTCCAACTCCTGACCTCAGGTGATCCTTCCACCTTGGCCTCCCAAAGTGCTGGGACCGCACATGGCGGAATTTTACTTCTTTCAGACTTTCAGCCCTACATGTGATGTGAGTTGCATGTTTCGTACATGCTGTTGATCAGGCTGAGGGATTCCTTTCTATTCCTAATTTGCTGAGTGTGCTTATCATGAATGGATGTTAAATTCTGTGAAATGCTTCAGCTGACAGAATCATTTGGTTCTTCTCCAGTCTGTCAATAGTGTGAATTACATTGATTGATTTTTCAAATGTGAACCAACTTTGCAATTCTAGTCTAAACCCTACTTGGTGTTGCTGTATTATCTTTTTTTTTTTTTTTTCTTTTCGAGATAGGGTCTTGCTCTGTCACCCTGGCTGGAGTGAAGTGGTGCGATCTCAGCTCACTGCAGTCTTGACCTTCTGGGCTCGAGCAATTCTCCCGCCTCAGCTTCCTGAGTAGCTGGGACTATATGGGCACTCGCCACTGTGCCTGGTTAATTTCTTTAATTTTTAATTTTCAATCGAGACACGGTCTCACTGTGTTGCACAGGCTGGTCTCGAGTTCCCAGGCTCAAGCAATCCTCCCGCCTTGGCCTCACAAGGTGCTGGGATGACAGGCATGAGCCAGCACGCATGGCTACTATTCTTTTTATATGGCTGGATTCTACTTATTTTGTTGAGGATTTTTGCACATGTGTTGATGAGGAATAAGGATCTGCAGACAGTAGAATTTTGTTGCCGCCACTGAGAGCGGAAGCCAGCACATGCCGTGTGAAAGGAAGTCTGTTTTCCAGATAACTTGTTTGTTTTGTTTTGTTTTTACTGTTGGTCGGAGATGGCATTTTATTGACCAAGGCGGGTGGGTGGAAAGAATAAAATGCTTCTTGGCCGGGCACCGTGGCTCACGCCTGTAATCGTAACACTTTGGGAGGCCGAGGCAGGCGGATCACCTGAGGTCAGGAGTTCAAGAGCAGACTGGCCAATATGGTGAAACCCCGTGTCTACCAAAATACAAAAACTAGCAGGGCGTGGTGGTGTGCACCTGTAATCCCAGCTCCTCTGAAGACTGAGGCGTGAGAATCGCCTGAACCCAGAAGGCAGAGGTTGCAGTGAGCCAAGATCTTGCCACTGCACTCCAGCCTGGGTGACAGAGCGAGACTCCATCTCGTAACAAAACAAAAAAACACTTCTTAAGTCCTTACAGTGGAAAGAGCTAAATGCCATTACTTTACTTGTATTATCGCATTTAATGTAGGACACAGGTGTTGTGTCTTTTGTTCTTTTTTAAATTTTTTTTTTTTTTTGAGACAGAGTCTTGCTCACCCGCTAATTTTTTGTATTTTTAGTGGAAACGGGATTTCACCCTGTTAGCCAGGATGGTCTCGATCTCCTGACCTCATGATCCGCCTGCCTCAGTCTCCCAAAGTGCTGAGATTACACATGTGAGCCACCGTGCCTGGCTGTTCTTTTTATAATTTTTAAATTTTATTTATTTATTTTGAGACAGAGTCTCACTCTTGATGCCCAGGCTGGAGTGCAGTGGTGTGATCTTGGCTCACTGCAACCCCCTCCTCCTGGGTTCAAGCAATTCTCCTGCCTCAGCCTCCTGAGTAGCTGGTATTATAGGTGCCTGCCACCACGCCCGGCTAATTTTGTATTTTTAGTAGAGATGGGGTTTCACCATGTTGGCCAGGCTGGTCTGGAACTCCTGACCTCAGGTGATCTGCCTCGGCCTCCCAAAGTGCTGGGATTATAGGCGTGAGCCACCGTGCCTGGTCATCTTTTGTTCTTAATCCACGCATGACTTTCTTCCTTTCAGGTAGAATATGCTGTGTTAAGAAACATTACAGAATTAAGAAGAATCTACAGCTTTTATAGCAGCCTGGGATGTGACCACTCTCTGGATAATACCTTTCTGATGACAAAGCTTCACTTCTGGAGATTTCTAAAAGATTGCAAATTTCATCACCACAGACTAACTCTTGCTGATATGGACAGGATATTAAGTGGTGAGTATTCCAGATCTTTCACATCTTTTGGTTTAAAGCAGGGGTGCAGGCTGGGCGCAGCGGCTCATGCCTGTGATCCCAGCACTTTGGGAGGCCGAGGCAGGCGGATCACAAGGTCAGGAGTTTGAGACCAGCCTGACCAACGTGGTGAAACCCCGTCTCTACTAAAAGATACAAAAAATTGTCCAGGCATGGTGGTGCATGCCTGTAATCCCAGCCATTTAGGAGGCTGAGGCGGGAGGATCACTTGGACCTGGGAGGCGGAGGTTGCAGTGAGCCGAGATCGTGGCATTACACTCCAGCCTGGGCGACAGGGCAAGACTCCATCACACACACACACACACACACA